ATCCGTCGAAAAATCATATTTACCCGAAAGATACACGAAGGTGTCTCTTTGTTTGCAAGACAAAGATAAATTTTGTCAAATTCGAAAATTCATAGCTAAATGCACAAAAAAACGACAACTTCAGAGACAATATGACACGCACTAAACCCTGGTTTGTTCTTAATTTCGACAGTTTGAGTTAACAGATAGCTGTGAACAAATTGCTGAAATAATGCTTTTTGGTGTATTTAAAAAAGATTTGGTTTGTCCTTTATGCTCTAAAGATGGCAAGTCCTTATTGACATGGACATATTGCCATCTATCAGATATAGATTACTTATGCACCCAAAACTACGGATTCCCTAACATTCAAGACGGCGAAAGATTAACATATTTTGGTATCAATGACCCACAAAATGTTAATTCAGACTGAACAACATAGTTTTAGAGAAAGTTATTTACTACATACAGAAGCACGATTTATCCACTTTTTGGTGCCAGGGGCCACAAAATCAATTTTTCATTACAAAATTGCTATTTTACAACAGTATTGCAATACTTTTTCTTTTCTACGTACATAGTGTGCCAGAAAGTAATAAGAAAAAGAAGAAACAGTGTTGAGAAGAAATAAACTCTTCGGTTTAATGTCTCGTATAAATGAAAACGTTGAAGTTGTTATTGTTATTACTATTATTATTATTATTATTATTATTATTATTATTATTATTATTATTATTATTGCCTTTTATTATTTAAAGTAGGAGCACTTTATCGCGAATAGAAAGGGGTTAGCGTGTTTTTTAACATGCATCCCACGTTTTTTATTCAAGTTCCTGGACGCGTTCGTCTCGCCTACGTCATACGGCATGTTGTACCTCCATTGTTATTAGCAGGACGCGGGAGGAAATTAACTGTCAGCTCGATGTCGTTCTTATTTTGATGCATTCCCCGCAAGTCTCGCCAGGTTGCTTTTATGTTTTTGTTTTGGTGAAATGGCAGGATAACTGAAATGATCCTTTCACTCTTAGAGTATGTCTATTAATATTCTCGTTTATACACATTAGTTTAATATAGAGCGTTTATGTCCTAAAAACAGATCACATCGGCTAAAGTTCAAATATTTTTAGGTACGTGGCGATTCGAAAAACTGTTTGTTGATATAAAGTTTACTATGTTTGTATGCTTACATTATTTATTTTTGTATTCAAACATAAACACATGCATATCATTTTGAATAAAACAGTACCAAAATTAGTGTTTTTGGAAAGGAAAAAACAATAGTAACAATTTATATGTAACTTAAATGTTTATCGCTCCATTTGATTGAAAAATATTATCAAAATTCATCAGTAGAGATGATGGGCTTGATCATGAAGTACGAAGTTAACAATAATTTGAATGTGACCTTAAGTTAAGAAGATCGTCATTGTCGAACTTTAATATTACTCATTTATATTACTGTTCTCGTAGATATAATACGTGCCACATAGTCTTAAATACAAGCTTTGAAGGTAACCTATGGTACATACAATAACTGAATGCAATTGATTCTTCTAGTCTGGAAAGTTCCATTTATTAGAAAATGTACACAAATAAAGTTATATATTACATTCACTATTTTGGAATACACAAAATGGCATTTCATGCTCAATTTGTGTTCAAATGTCAAACATAATCTTAAATCCATAATGCGTTGCAAACAATTTCTATTACGCGTCCAAGAGGTTTTGAGGCTACGTATATCTTCCATTTATTTACACAACTCTCCTTTTACTTTGTTTACTACGTACTAGGATAGTTAAGAGAAAATTTTCTAATGCTGCATCCAAATCTGGCGATTTTTGAACAGGTTTTATTAAAGACAAAAATGTCTAACTTGAAGTTTAAAGTTTTGAAATTTTAACTTTTTGCAATTTTCGAACATACAAAGTGTTGCTTGAAAATAGGAGCAGCACCAGTTTTGACACACAAGAGAGGAAACTTAAAAGAAAAAATTAAGGGTTTGAGAAAATGATTGTTTAAAAATTGCCTAAATTTCTCAGGAAATTACGGGAAAACCACTCTTATTATTGAAAAATTGTACGTGACGTTATTTTAAGATCTGAACAGATTGTAGTAAAGAAAAAACGCTGTGAAAATATTTTTATAAGAATTAAAGCCATTAAAGCTACATTTTTCTTGTAATAAACACACATTTAATATTATTTATTAAAAAAGCAGCTTTCGATAGCTTAGCCATCACCATCAGTTTTCTGCTGTATGAAAGCCACAAAAACGACGATGTAGTTTCATTTTTTTAAATAAATAATATTTTTGGCAATGACGACGCTTATAATTATTTCTTCAATTGGCTGGTATGGATCAGGTCAATCTAATTGTCTACAAACTTTAACATTATTTTATTAATGACACTGGGAAAAGATGAGCTATTTTTAAAATATCTTAAGAGATTTTTACTTCTAGGGTTCACTTCATTTTAAATTTCATATTATCTTAATTCATCTATCGTGTAGATTTCGATCTTTCGTTGTTTCCCATCTCGATCACGTTTTCGTCCAGTTTATCTAATCCTTTGAGCAAATGCTGAGATGATCTCTTCTTTTGCTTCTGAACATAAATGTATTTTCATTATCTGTGCACGTGTTTGGAGCTCAATGGTGAATACAAATATTCAAATAATCGTTCTCATGTTTTTGCAGGAGTACATCGATTCCTTCTCGTCGGGCATGATAAAAGCCAAATTTGTAGCTCGTTGCAAATACTCTTTCTTACACAGAAGCGAATAGTTTTTGTTTATTATCAAATCTGGCGAATACACCTATTCATAATTCAACTTTATATTGTAGAGGAGTTAGAGAAGGAATTCTACAGATTAAAAACGTGCAGATGAGTTTTTTGAGCTCTATAATTCTCGCCCACAGTACGTCAATTACAGTTTTAAACTGTTTTTTAACTTTATATAAATTAAAAGTTGATTTATATTCCAAACACTCAGTTTCAACCGTTTGCCTCTACAGTAATGTTACAAGTGCTTAGACGGTAATACATTTTCTCTAATTTTCCTCATCGCTTGGCGTTTTTACTATTTCTGTTGATAACAAAACAACAACAACAATAATAAAAATGAATATAGTATAAAGTAATGTTAATGAATAATGCTGAGAAGTTCAAACTGAAGCACGTTACAAGAAAAGAGTCTTCTAAAAACATTGGGTCGTGAAATTGCGAAACGCGTGCAACTTGGACGAGGAACGTGCACATCTTCCGCTTTATCCGTCGCCGGAACGTTCTCGCGCCGTTCCAATAGCCACAAAAGAAAAACGCCGGGCTCCGCAATTTGAGGAGAGCTGATCCCCAGAGTGAGCAAGGAAACGGGGCGTGGTACCCATGTCTTGTACGTACTACCGCCACCTCCCGTTGCTTCATGCAATATGCATCGGCTTCAAACGGTGTACTTCGGGACAGTGCGCAGAACGCGGCCTCGTGCTTTATTCCTCATTCAGAAACTTATTCCACTTGCAGAGAGAAGTTTGAAAATCTCCCGCGCTGCTCCGTCATCTAAAGGAGAATTAAATTGAGCATCGCGCTCCGAAACTCGAGTTTAGCCGAGCGAAGGGCTACAACGAGCGCAGCCCGGCGGGTGGGTGAGGGGGTGGGGGGCGAATTAAGGAACCCTCCGAAGCGCGGAACTAGTATTAAACGCTGGACGATGACAAGTTGAAATTGAAATGGCTGTCTGCACGAGAAGCAGTTCTTCAGAAGAAACTCTGTCCAGTTTTTAGTCGATTAATATAAATAGAAATGCACATTTATTTGGAGATTAAAGGCAATACCAGTGAAAAATAGAATGTGAGAAAATAGATTTCGATAATTTGAGAAAAGTTAGTGTTATAACGTTAGTGTTATAACGTCCTTTACTGATATAGCAGCAAAGCCAGACCATCAGTAAGGTCGCAATGGTAAAAATAAGCTGTCAATTATTTATAATAAGAGATATTATTTAATATGTGAACCGTATATTATTAGAAAGTGAACTAAGAAATCCAAATAAGGGACAGGGTATCAAATAACCAAATGAGTATTCATATAGTATATACATTTACAAATTCTCCCCACTTAACAAAATTGTATTTTATAATTTCATGTAAAACATATGATTGATGGAAGAAAATATTTCTCTATAGAGAACTTTTCCATAAAATACAATTATTGTAGGCTTAGTATCACCGTAAATGGTACAATGGGATCACTCGTTCCCTCACTATGACGTACGTTTCTCAAAAACAAAAAAATATATAAAATCTTTTAATTGTTTTATAAATAATATATAACGTAATAAAGCTGAGTAAATAATGGAAATGAAGTCTCCTCTAAAACGTACGTATTTAAAGTGATTTGTTACATAGCCTTAAAACAATATTCCTCGCATAATAACTAAACATTTTGTTGATAAATAGCTGAAAAATATTATCTTTTAGTTAATTGCATACCGTTATAACAAATTACGTAATACACTAGAACAAGACATGATATGACATGACGTAGCTTAACTTATCACATTTTCTGATTTGATTGCCGGGAAATATATCTCAGAATTCTTTAGTTTCTTCACATGACTCACATGTTTTATAGTTGTTTTTCTTGTTTAGGGTCAATAAATAAAGGGTAAAAAAATTATTGTTAGGGGTAAATAAATTAACGTCTGAATTAACGTACAACAAATTTGAAAGTCTTCACACTCCAGAAATTAAAACAAATAACTTTTAGGTTTCTGTACACATTCCATGTTTGACTTTCGGGGCACAAGACTCATGCTTGCTTGGCCAGCTGAGCGCGGCAGAAGTGTATTACGCATAAATTAACTAGAGGTAATGCGGATAATTAGCATATGAATTAACATACAAGTAAGACTCCATGTTCCAGAAATCTGAAAATCTTTTAGGATTGAGAACAGGCTTCATGTTTCGCTTTCGGGTGACCAGGCGCATGATTCCGGGGCGGGCAGTCGCGGGGGCCAGGACTCACCATGTCCCCGTTGAGAAGCCAGGTGACGTGCGGGACAGGATGCGCCGGCCTCGACGTGCAATTGGCCTCCAGCAGCTCCCCCACCACGTACGAGGCCTGGCGGACGTGCACCAGCGGCGCGCCGCGCTGGGGCTCTGCAACACAACAGACGACGATTACAGTCGTTGGTCATCCCCACCACACAATACGCTACACAACGGTGACGCTTTTGCATAATTTACAAGAAACTATAGGCACGAAACCCCGTCAGCGTGCTATTGCTGGCAAGGGAATTAACCTAGTCCTGCATCAAACAGATTTAAGACGAGGAAAAAACCAATGCAGTGTCTCGAACCGGAGGTGCTAGGGTTTGAGTCCTGACGGTGGCAGGATTTTCGACATTATATAGATAGCTATACGTCGAATTCAGTCGCTGTCTGGAGGAGAGTCCTTGCGGCGGACTGCTCTGAGCGACTCTCTCGGTTTCTCCCATCAACACGAGTGCTGGAGCAGTACTCTAATAAACGGGACACGAACCGTGCGCGATCATTCCTTCCTCTTCCTTGCCCTATTCTCAACCTTACTAACACAACAGACGGCGATTACACATGTCGGACACTTCACACCTGCACATGTCGGAAGACCAGTTGGAAGCTTAGAGCTGGTCCCGATTGCTGCGGTGCTGGATATATCTCAGATATATCCTGGTTGATGGTTGATGGTTGGGGAATACACTGCAAGCCGAAGAGTAGGTCGGGGACAGATCTCGCCATCCACCTGGATATCACCCCCCCCCACAGCCAGCGATAGAACATCCTGTACACTTACGGGGCTAATGCCCTTAGCAGTTGACGCGCCCGGAAACACAAATTAATTTATCAAACGAGAAAAAATTCGCAGATTGTCATGAAGAACGAAAAGGTAGTGCTCGTGCAACTCGCAACACATGTTACGTAAGATTATACCGAATATTACACAGACAGTACGCATTTTAGACCCAGTTTTTACGTTCCCAAAGACAATCGGGTTGTATTTTACACCGTAATCTCTACAATGAGACCGTTTTATTTTTTGACGTTTACTTACGTGTTTGGAGTGTACCTCTACTTTGTAGCACGAATTGTCAGAAACGTTTTTGGGTTCCAGTACAAAGTTATTTTCTCTCTGAAAACAAACCATTTGCGAAGTGCGGATGCTCGCACACGTCCAATCAAAGTGTAACAATATATTTCAACCCCGGTGGCGGTGAAAGCAAAGATAACGCCTTATGGCTCAAGCATACCACTACATGGAATATCGCGAATTCTACCACGGCAAAGAGCTAGAAATTTACTTGATGTCTTTAACATCGGCAACTTTGTGGCATCTGAAGAACTCGAATTTGTAGGGCGATTGCTCTGATTAGTCTTCCCTTGTTCACTTCCAGGCCACCACCCAACATCATAGAATATTGACTACGCACGCCTATATCCGTACATATTCCTGTACTTAGAGCCGAGTGATGGGCTGATGACCCCCTTTCGGATGGCATATTGATCCTATTGATTTAAATACTCTCTGTCAAGCGTACAAGATAGGAAAAACAGAACCAATCCTTGAGTTATCTCAAGCAGTAAAGATGTCTCATGGTGAAACTAGTGGAGATAAAACAGCACACACTTTATCGGATTATTTGTAATATTCAATTTTTTAAAAGTTCACAAAGTTCAACTAAAATGAGACCTGCTCCGTTTTTAAGCGTCCTTTGCCCTATTTGGGGAGGAAATTAAAGAAAAATGTTCCAACAATTTTTGAGAATTTTTTAAATGAATTGCATTAACTTCAAGCAAACGTTACACGAAAACAGCTCGATTTTACAAAACATTGTACGTGATCTTGGTTAACGATTTGTATTTAATTTGATTTGATTTTGTGCCGAAAAATCGCCGATCATTGCGCTCCTATCCTTGCTCACGTGATTTTATCCCTAGGCGAGGGAGGATTTTATCCCAATGGCGAGTTGATAAGTCCTGTTTCTCAGTAGCGGCACGGCAAGTGGGCTACGGTGTTTGGCCCAGTGGCGACTCCCCCAGGCGACATGGGCAGGCCCACATGTCTTTTCAAAAACGTAGTCTGAAGTTTGTCATTTAAATATTTTCAGCCCCTTTTTAGAACAACCACAATAAATACATCCAAATTTTTTTATTATCATTTTAGTCTGTGAAATACGTTTCGGAGATTGGTCTGCTCCCTCATCAGGTACAACTGTTTTTGAACAAATGAAAAACAAATGGAATATAAACAAAAACACACAAAATATACAAAGACAGTTGTAATTACGTTCAGTACGTTTTGGAATGCAGTCCAGCTACATGACATGACAAAAAGAGACTGAAAAATGTTTTAAATACAATAATAATAGTGAGAACCAATTTAAAACTTGTGTCTTATTAGTTTCTTTTAGTTCTTGGAAAAAGAAGTCAGGGTAGAGAGCGACAGCTGTACTTGACTTCACTAACTTTTATGTTCTTTTAAGGCACTGGTCGAGATCGGAGCATCTCCCAGCAAGCAGCCAGCACAGCTACACGTGAGAGTGCGACTAGATGAAGGCAGGAAATTCGGCGTGGGTCCAACGGGACGAGGCTAAGGCCAGGACGGCAAAAAGGGACAAGGCTAGAATCTCCACCAGCAGCATACACGGCTCTTGTTGGGTTCGAAGCTTACGTGGTGGTGTGGAACAGTCTGCCATTCACGCACGTCTCTAGTGATTTATGATTGATTCGGCTACGCATGATGAAATTATACGGATCTTGGAATCAAGCCTTGCCACTGCTGAAGAGATTTGACATTATTGTTGCTCGACTTAGTCAGCAAGCGATTATTGATTCCTGGTGCGTTACTGAAGACACTACCACTGCGAGATGTAGTGCATGCGTGCGTGTAGTCTAGAAGGTGGCGGTGTTCCTCCAATGTTGGAATGTGAGGTCCTGCTTCGAGCTACAAGTCGCGATGACGGTTTTTTTCCTCCTCCCCAGCGAGAGCCCGTTTCACTCAGATCAACGAGTTACTCGCTACTGGTTTGAACTGGTTTAAGTGTTGTAGTGTAGTGAATAAACGTGAGTCAGTGTAAGGGAAGAAGAGGGGAAAAGGATGAAGAAGGGACAATGGCGCGCAGTCCATTGGACGTTCGTTAGAGTACATTACCGTCATTCACCGGATACGTTTGGAGAAAGCAAGGAAAGCTACCGATCTGAGCGATCGACAGCTTGAATTCTCCCCCAGACAGCGGTTACATTCGAACCACCTCTCTAGTAGTGTCGAGAACCCTTGGACAACGATGCTGCGGAACTCACGATGTTGCCGATGTGCCACCACAGCCAGTAGTCCTGACAAAGAAATGTCCCTACCGAGAGAAGCATTTTCAATTCACTTACAAAACTAAACCCGATGCACACGCATCGTTAGTCCCCACGCCTCGCTGTGGCGACAGAGGTGCCGGGCCACGAGCTCGTCAAAGATTACGCTTGATTTCCCATTTTTTGAAGCTTTTAATCTTATTAAGTGGCAGCGGGAGAACGCTTGAGAACAGCCGGCCGAGGAGGGGAGGCGCGCATTAGCGGATGAATGCAATTACGGTCGCACTTCTCATTTAAATCGAATCGCAGCGTCATTTTCCAATCTTCGCCGCCGCCGCCGATACTCCAAATTCAATCGGGCGACGCGCAAACAGTTTCCGGAGGACGCAGCCACGCGCTGCCATTTCACACCCAGGAGTCTTATCCCAATCGAGCGAGCGGTTGCCTCGACGCTGAGGAGTGGGAGGAAGCAGCCTACTAAAGCTGACGCTGTGCAGTAGGACGAACATTCAATCTAGCTGGATCAAAAGGGGAAAAAAAGTACGATAATATAAATAGTCGGACCTCCATATACCGAATCTGACGGTTCGTTCGATAATATTCGTTATATACGAACTTTAATATACTATACTAGAAATAATTATGAAAATATTGGAAATACTTTCAAACAAAAAATGGTAAAATGAAAAAAAATTAACCATAAATAATTAACCAATGATTAATTAAATACGTAACCAATGATCGTACCACATATTTATGAATAGTAATATAAAATGAGTATTGCATAGTCCCAAATCATAGAACTTAAATTTAAAAAAATCTGTTGTCCTGTTGCACACATGTCAATTCAGAAAAGGAGTTCGATACAGAAATATAGAAACGTTTTTAAACAGAATTTTCAAGGGACAGAAACATAGTTCGATATGAAGAGAATTTTGATTTATGGAGGTCCGACTGTATGAGTAGTCAGAAGTAGTAAGAACTGCTTAAGGATTTGAAAGTAAATTAATGGTGCTACATCACCATTTACTTTCTTTTATTTTTGGTAACATTACGTAATTTGAGAGTGCATCTTCCCCGTCTTCTTTTGAACAAATTAAACGATATAGCTCAAAACAATGTGACAATAATTAATATTTTGAAATACAATTTAATGAAATGATTTAAAGATCTAATACTGGGGAATTGATTGCATTAAAAAATAAATATATAGTTTCAATATTCAAGGAGTAGGAAAGTTACAAAAAATGAACTTTCGCAGTTTACAAAATCCTAAACACGTTTTTACAACTGAAATTACTCGTCACGTAAACAAGCCATTCCTATTCCTTTAATTTTCAAATTCAATGCTATATTAGACCCAAGTTCAGCTTTAATAATATTTTTTATCTTATTGATAGATATGAAAATTTCTTTCTTTGATCCAATTTCTTTGTCTATTACACTCCGCATATGAAAGTAATCACTATCTTCCCCAAAACCTGACTTTTTACTTTCTCGCCTTATGAAAACTTACGAAGTATATATAATCGTGCGCCGGAAAACGGCGAATTTCTTATATTTTTGACAAGACATCAATTTCCACATTTAATATAATTAGTTTTTCGAAGACATCTGTGCGTTTCAAATTAAGACCTCCCTGTTTCATGATCACATTTTCATAAACAGTTTTCGTTTTACGTTTCGTTTATTAATATAAACCGTCAAATATATTAATATAAACCGTATAATATGTCAGGAAACAACGAGACATTTAGCATTCCTACATTTTGACAGTGGTAGTAGGTATACTGATCCTGCGTCCGAACCCCTAACATGGA